GCTGATATAGGGCACTTTGAACTGAAAATAAAAAAAAAAAAAAAAACAGCATAGACACGCTAATGAACACTTCAGATCAAAATGGAATTGATGTTGAAAAAAAACCAGTAAAGGTTGGGCATGCCAATATAACATTTTATGTTGGATATCATTGTCTAAATGCAATTGAAGTTGAAAAGGATGAACGTAAAGCATCTATTTATTATTAGAAATCAGTACAGATAGCATTTTCAAGTTGGATATCGTTGTAAAAATGGAATTGGAATTGGAATTGAAAAAAAAAATTCAGCGAAGATATTAATTTAATTTTATAAAAAAATTTTTAAATTTCTTAACTATATTACTAAAATCATTACGAGGTTGTTTTGATTTTGTAACAAACTTATTACTGTATGATATATTGATAATTTCAAATCAAAATCTTTATGACTTTAATTTAATTTTATAAAAAAATTATTGAATTTCTTAACTATATTACTAAAATAATTACGAAATTGGTTTGATTTTGTAACAAAATTATTACAATATATTTATAATTTCGAATCAAAATTTTTATGACTTTTACAATAATATAAAAACAACTTCTTTGCAATATAAATACAATATTATAAAAAAATTGAAGTAATTTTGTAGCAATTTAGTTACTAAAATCGTTAAGAAGTTATAACAAATTTGTAATAATATTAAAATAATTTTTAAAAATATTGTAATAACTTTGAATTAAAAATATTATAAATTTATACGATAAGATAAATAAAATTTTTATACGATTTTTATACGATTTTTATATAATTTATATACAATATCAAACCAATGTTTTAACTATAAAATAACAAAGTAAATCGAAATATTGTCGCAACAATTATGTGCCAATTTAAACCCAATTTCGTAGCAAAAAATTAAGGTTTCTCTGAAGTATATAAAAGTATATAAATATTATATTAAGTTTATTATTTAATAATGTTAAAGCCCGGTGCTACGCACCGGGTTAAAGACTAGTTTTAAACATATTTAGCAATATTATAATGGATAGCTAAAACATAGTTTCAATTTGGTGGAAGATCGGGAACTTTACCATCTGTTAATGCAGAAAATTATAATCGGTTTGAGTATACAGATACTTTTGCTTCTTTCCTCCTAATAATTCACTTACCTTCGAAATTAATACCGCATTTGACAGCAACACCAACTTTCTTTTTATCAATACGGTGTTTGTCAATTCCCAACTTTTCAAGTAATTTTAAGGCGAGATCATTGTTTTTAAGGAAGTTGAATAGAGTATTAATCATGTCTTTGTTACACCGTGTACAGATTTTTTCTGGGTCAGCAACAGCTACAGCATCTATATAAGCACTGCCGGTGATATTAATCGGAGAGTTGGGTAAATTTAAGACGAACTTAGCAGTTTCATCTTTACAATATTCATCTTTATCTTTAAAACATGTTATGTTTCTCACAGGAGAATAGAAAACGACAAATCCAAAAATGAATTCGACTGCTGCGTTATTGTTACTTAGCTCCTTTTCACATCCACTTCCTATAGTATCAATTGCACCTTTGACAGTGTCATTAGAGCATCTAGTGCTTTACAGTATATATCAGAGAATTGATCTAATTGGGGAAGAAAATCTAGAAGTTTTTTGGGATCTTGCTTAATAGAAGCAAAAAAATTAGGGTCACTAATGTTAGGTAGAATTGGTAAAAAGGCAGACGGTGGGATACATTATAAAATTTCAGGACTGGTAAAAACCGTTATCAATGCATTTTTGCAGTTTTGTGATATTTTAAAGGGTACACTATCTAATATTTGTAAGGTTTTTGGTGGGATTTTTGACGCAATATTTGGTGGAATGGTGGATCCTAAGCTTGTCAAAGCGAGGAATACAATAACAACAAAAAATTTCTTCAAGAACATTTTCAATATAAAAATAAATTGAATTTATCGTCTGAAAAGAACTCTTTGCTTTAAGGCGAAGACTATAAAAGTGTTGCGAAAGACCGTTTATATAATTTTTTTCTGTGAAGGCTTCTTAAATATCTAAAATTTTGTTCATTCACAACTTATTATAGATTACTAATTTTGTCTGTAGAATGTGAGATGAACATAAATGACATCAGGCACAACATGCGCGAGGAACGGAGTGGAACGATGGTTCTGTGAAAAATGAAATGATGTGTGCAAATTCATAATCTGATCGGAATTAATTTCACATGTCAACGTTTCTTCATTCGAACGATGCCATGGAAAAATATTATTTCAATAATATAAAACTTTATAATTGAATCAAATATTGCGCCCCACTAGCGGGAGTTTTAAAAAAAAAAAAACTTTATAATTGCATGAATGTGAATGGATGCGCATGATTCGCGTTTTTTGCTGATCAAAATAAATATAGTTTCAATTTATTTTATTTGATTTTTAGGCTTAAGACATAATAAAGGTTCGGCAAAATGGCTATTCTATAGTTCTGGCCCGCATTACGTTGGTCATGTGACAATATAATCTTAATGCCGGCTAAATTAATGGTTGACACAGTTAAATGATTATAAAATTTTTGATGAAATATCAGTAAACGAAATAAAATCACGCCTATAGACAGGTACGCATCAATGCAACAAACATGAAATTACATTGGCAATTCTTTAATATTATTTAGCATCAGAGATAACAAAATTTCATATATAAATCTTTTTGATGGAAAAATGCGCTTTTTTCTTGATTCATGCACATGAATGCGCATCCCGTAATCTGTTCGAATTAATTTCACGTGTCAACGTTGGAAAATGTTACTTCGACTATAAAACTTAAATAATTGAGTTGTTATGACTAGGGGAGACTAGGGGAGAGACTTCTGATATTCGTTGTCGAATTTGCTACTGAGCCGTAATCGTTAAGATATTCAATATTAACAAAAGAGGTAATTATGATGGGAAAGCAATTTATTAATATTTGTCGAGAATGCATGAAGAATTATGATAAATGAAATATAAGTAAAAAAATTTTATATGTTTATATTTGTTTATATA